TGGCATCGCCAGCATGCGTGTGTATGACAATCCATCTATTTCAATCAATGAGGACGTCCGTCCAAAGTAACGGGTCGTGCGTTGAGTACTTGAAATTTTTCTAGGGTCAACTAACGTCAGTTTGTTCGGACAGATGACATCTCCGTTATCGACGCCATTGTAACACACTCATTTTCCGAGTCTCTCTTTCTCTCTTGCTCTTTCGAGTGATGCGCACCGACGGATCGCACGCATGCAAGCGGAAGACTGTCAATTCAGTCAATACCGACAGTGCAACAACGAGACACGCATTACTTAATCTAGCGACATGTCCCCACGTGACGTTCCCCATTTAGAACATTTGATGATGAGGCCAAATTCGCGCGCGCATGGTAAACAATCTCTATATAATATTTTACAATTTAGTTTTACATTGATTGCAATCGTACAAATAACGAAGTAACAAACACGAAGAAGCCTGAAAGGGCATTATTATTTATTGTCTACATAAATCTCAAGTCGGACTTATTATCCAGACAATAAGTATACAAATATATATAAGTAAAAAGGAAAAAGGGCTACGAGCCTAAAACATAAAATGACAAACTGTATAAATAGTTCAAAAATAAAATAAAACCATGTCATGAAATTAAAAACGTAAATTATAATTTGACAATCAGAAGGTGAACAAAACAAACGTTTCGATCCTTGTTGGATCATTTTCAATGTGACGAATAAATTAATAATAGAGTTGTAACGTAGATAAAACATAAGAAATTAAATAAAATTCGCATTCGGACGCAAAATTAACTATAAAACTCGCTGAATTTCCTCTCAAATTGAGAGGAAATCAAACAAATGATTATAGTTGACACAAATGTGCTCCTCCAAACCGTGTGTGTGTGTGTGTGTGTATAAGGACGAACATGTTTTTGTTAGCAAGTATAAATTATAATAATAAATTAACGACGGAAGTAAATAAAAATAATAAGAAAAGTACAAATCGAGTCGCAAATAATAAATCAAAATTAAAAGAAACAGACAAAAATTATCTTTAATATTATAAGACAAGCACATAAAAAATAATAATGATGATAGAAAAAGAGTAAAATGCCGACATTCATTGTATATGTATAATGAGTTTAGAACAAATAAATTTATAATAAATACCTTATGTGTATCAAAATGATGTATTATCGATTAGGCAATGCGATGGGAATCGAAATTGATCATCTCTCTAGGAAGCTAAGAGATAAAGTACGACATATAAAGATAAGAAGGTTGAAATGAAAAACTAAAAAGGAAGGGGAAAAATAAGAAGGAAAGAATAAAGTAGAAGGGAGAGAAAGTAGGGAGAGAAGAGAAGGATAGGAAAGGGAAAGCAATTAAGAAGGAGAAAGAGATTGAATGATCTGTAAGTATCAGATAAAGATTCGGTATCATTTTGCTTATTAAGGCCTTGTTTCTGTCTTTTAATATCATTTCAGAATATATTATCACAAATATATATATATATATATAAATATATATATATATGTGTGTGTGTGTGTATTTGTATATTTATATACATATAATTTCTATTTTGTGCCATCAAATGCAAAAATTCTTTATCAATTCATTTGCAATTGTCATCTTCTCAATTTCTGATCCCTCTTGCTAACTATCTAATAATTCCGGACTACTTCTAATGCAATGTCTTTGAATTTTTGGATTTTATATAATTCGACTATGAAAAATCATTCAATTGACTATGTTGGATCTTTCTATCTATCCGTTTTTCATCATATCGAAGAGGATTCGAATTAGGAGTCGAAACATTTGCACGTTTAAATTATTTGTTACGTTTAATTATTTGTATCATCCATCTTTACAAGCACTATTTAATTTAGTAATTATTTTAATAATTAATAATTTGTTAATATTTTAACATTAACTACTGTAACTCTTATTACTAATTATAATTAATTTGTTGATCAAATTTAAATCTATAATGCGACATATTTATAACGAGCACTTTAATATTTGCATGTTAAAGTCTTTTGCAATATCGTATGCAGCCTGCTCTTTTTCTTTCCTGCTTTAATTCTTTTCTTTTCCTTTTTCATAAAAGAAAGAATCCAGGGGAAAAAGATGGTTCCTGTCGGTCGGAAAGTCGAGACTCCGCCATCTCTTGTAGGTGCAGCACGCGTACCGCGAGGTTTCGTGGCGCGTTTGCGAGCACGAAGGGTCAGTAGCCTCGAGCGTGTTTGCAACGAGCGGCTCCGAGAGTGGCCTCGCAAACTGGTTTAGCAAAAGTCAAGATCTAGATCGCGACCTTCTTATAGCCGTCCACGATTTTGCGCGAGTCCGCGCGAGACGGCGTCTTAATACGCGAGAACTCGCGTAACAAGGTATTACAATGGCAATCACAACGTGAAGCCAAATTGCTTCTCTTCTACGTCATCGCACGCGCAATTCGATACAAATGAATAAGTTTCGAAATTCGTTTATCTTGGAAACAACATGGTAACATATGGTAACA